GATTTTAAGGTATACACCTGCGTTAAAAATAATCCCTATCTATCCATCGGGATACACTTAGTTATGCAAATTCGTATTACCTTAAGAGCGGTTGTCTGTAATAGTCAGGTAAGACGTGTAAAATGAAAAATTCAAAATCTTTCAAACTTTGACAGAATGTAGGCCTATATGAAGTATTAAGAGAGCTTGCCTGTAAGAATCACAGAATGTGTGGCAGATATGAAAAACTGAAAGTTCTTCAATTTCCCTCGTTTTAATATATATTGTAGACCTATCCAATCCCACACATTTACTGAAGATTCAGTCATCAAACAAAAAATGAAGGAAAGTTAGAGTACTTCAAAAATCGAACACAAAATGACGCGAAATGTCCAAGAAATTACGCTATATAAAACAATCAACATCATGTGCTGTGCTGAGCGCGCATTATAAGTTTTTGCTCGGCTGTTACAATATATGTCTTTAGAATATATGGAACTTTCTCGTGATATCTTTTCTCCATAAATCGAAACTTATTGACTTGGTTATTTTAGATCAAAGATGGTTGAAAATTTCGGGTTTTCCAAACTAGCCAAAGTACGTCTTGTGAATCACCTATTTAAATATGGTCCTACTTTCTTTATAAATGTACATATGCATAATTTGTTAGGGATATGATTTCGTTATTCGACGACGATTTCAGATGTTTGGGATTCTTTTGTGTCTTGGCGAAATTTGATCTTAAACATGTACAATATTAGCGTAATGGGCAATTCCAGCTATAGACTAAATTTTGATTTTGGGCAAGAAAAACAAAATCCATCAGCACAGCTAGAAAGAGCATCATAAAATTAGTAAAATTACAAAGTTTGGTTGCAAAATGTTGAAAAATGAGGAAAATATAGCCCTGCGAAATTTGCAAATTTTGTATTAATTTGTCCGCAATAGACATAGATATCTCATATACACTAGATAGCGCATCTCACCCTGTAGGCAGGCGAAAATTGAAGCCTGATCGCAGTCGCAGTTTACGCGCGGCGGCCATATTGGTCGTTCCCACGGAGCGTGATAATTTGTATATTTTGTATTGCGGAAATGGACAAAGTTGACAATAAATCCTCTTTTATGCAGTCAATTTTGGTTTTTCAAGTGTGCAACTTATTGTAAATGATACCAGATCGTTGGAGCTTCATATTGTGAATAACGGGTAGGCAGAATTTAATTTTTTATTCCGAAAATATCAATATTTGTCGACCCGTATGAAGGGCGCCCATAGGACAAACCTTATGGACAAACCATCATTGTTGATGTATATATAAATATAGTTCCACCAATTCCAAATAAAACATTTTGAGCCATCGCCATTGCTTCATGGCAAAATTGTGAATGCATTTGCATATTCTTTTGTAAAAGACAGCGACACTGAAAAACATATTTTAGTCACAGTTTATCAATGGCAAAAATAGACTTAAAATCTTAAATAGTCAATATATAAAACATTGACACCAAAAATGGTTCTTACTCCTTTAAACTATTTGTATATTTATTACATACATACAACATATCATATATTATTTTATAGTTCCATGGAATCACATCAAGATTAAAATGTGTTAGAAGCTAGAGAAGAGTAATTGCAACTTAATATATTCGCAGGCAATATATAAACATAATTGATATTGCTTTATGTAAATGTATTTGATAATCAAACTTTCTAAAACCTTCAATTGTATGAATGCTTCAAACTATCTTTAATATTTGATGTTAAGATATATTTCTTTCTGTTGAGTCCTAGACCTTTTGTTTTTAATTCAAGCAATCAAACTGCCAAATTACTGTAATTATTAACAGCATAGGTCATTGATAATCAGCTGAATTTTAGAACTGCTTTGGGAAACCCTATTTTGTAATGAGACACATTGCTTCTTGCATTATTGTATATTGTATATTGTAAGGTCAATGGGATAAACTGCTTGATGCACAGTAGATTTTATAATCTTAAATATAGTTGCACTCACTATTGTATAAATAATTCTATTGTTATAATAAAGTATTACTTTTGACTTTGTGTAATAGTGTTTTCTAATTCTTTGACTCATCAGATGCACAATAATTAAACCTTTCTAAAAAAATAAAATAAATTTGCCAGTACTCTCAGGAATTGAAAACATGATAAACTCTCAATTTTTGCCTTTTGAGTTTAGTGGTTACTGTAAATATCATTAAAAAATGTCCAATTTTAAAAAAAAATTTGGAGACCTGAAGAAGTTTTGGTGCCAATTGAAATTAAAAATTTGAATTAAACTCAGAAAATTTCATAGCAATGGGTAAAGTCATTCCTGATGCAAAAAGTATAAGAAGTAATAGTGAAGGGTCAAGTGACAGAATCAAAAATCAAAAGAAAACTTCCCAGGACATTTCATCAGTAAGCAATTTATTTTAGTTTTTTACAGTATACTATTATATTGATTGAAATTAGACTTGCATTAACATGATAAACATCCCTAAGGATGAAGTACTATGAAAACAGTTGATACAAAATGTTCATCAAGAAAAGTGGTCACCCAAAAAGCAGATGTTTATATGTTCTGACCACTTTTGTTCTGGTTGCATTGTCCATACTGTTCTGTTCTCAGAAAGCAGACACTTATATGCTCTGACCACTTCTGTTCTGGCTTCATTGTTCATTGTTCATTGTCCATATGTTCTGGCTTCATTGTCCATACACAATCTTTTTACTGAGCTAGATCACCATATTTTTGACTCACCAGTTGGTGAAAATCATGTTATATTTCAGTTGACCAAGAGCATCATCAAGAGTTACTGTGAGGTTAAAATTTTACCATCTTGGAAAAAAGACCACTGAGAATTCATCTGGACAAAAAAAATTAGAAAGAAATTAAATAAACTTGTACCTTTTAAGCACCAGTGTGAGTGATTACACAGAACGTATCAGAGAAAGCTAAATATTACTAAAATTTACTATGAAACTGCCCAAGCTGAAAGTGCAGACTTTGCCTCAAACATAATTTTACTAAAGATTTATAGTGATAACTGCCCAAGCTGAAAGTGCAAACTCTGTCTCAAACGTTTCACTAAAGATTTATAGTGAAAACTACCCAAGCTGAAAGTGCAGACTCAGACTGTCTCAAACATTTCACTAAAGATTTACAGTGAAAACTGCCCAAACTGAAAGTGCAGACTCTGTTTTTACAGTATAAACTGCCTACGCCGATAGTCGAAACGTTACTTACCAACTTCCATTTCCATAAAGTGGTGCCAGAAACCGTGAGTACATGTATTGATTAGACGATACTTCACCAGAGAACACTCACAGATTCAAAACAAGTATGGGACATTCCATTTAATATACACACCCCCCTGTGGACGAAAATTTCCGAGGGGGGTTGAAAAAGCCGTTTCTGAGGGGTTGTGTGCATCGGCATACTTTGATCTTTGCGTTTTTTCCGAGGGGTAAGGCAAAAAATTCTTAATTTCTGAAGGGGTGTTTGTGTCGGCACTTTGATCTTTTTTTCTTAGGGGTTTAAATTTTATTGACTTCGTCCACAGGGGGGTGTGTACATTAAATGGAATGGCCCTATATAAAGCCAATGTCGTAATTCGAAATTTTTAGCTTTAAAATGCGATTCAAAGACAACAACATCGCCAATTAATGTTTTTTTCTTGTACCCTTTTCCAAAAAAGCTGCGATTTCAAGGCGAACGTACCTCAAAAAGGTATTTCTAATCCAGAAATGCAAAAAAGCCTCGAAAAGTATAGTATTTTCTATAGCATTTCATTGATGAGTGGGAACGACCAATATGGCCGCCGCCTATTTTCATGGGGGAAACCGCTGAGATTTTTGGCTTCAGTTTTGTATTCCGAGATGCGCTATCTAGTGTATATGAGATATCTATGGCAATAGACCATTTGCGTAACAGACTAAATTTTGATCTAAACAAGTTTAGACAAAAATTTCATCCCCGCTTGAAAGAGCATCACAAAATTAGTGATATTCCAAAGTTTCGTTGCGAATTGTTGTAAAGTGCGGAAAATATAGCCTTCGGAAGTTTGCAATTTTCAGTCATTTTAGATTACAAACGAGAAATTGACAACCTCGAAGGGTTTGGGGCTGTCAATTTCCCGTTTGTAATCTAAAATGACTGAAAATTGGAAACTTCGCAAGGTTATATTTTCCGCATTTTACAACATTTCGCAACGAAACTTTGGAATATTACTCATTTTGTGATGCTCTTTCAAGCTGTGATGAAATTTTTGTTGAGATCAAAATTTAGTCTATTGCGCAAGTGGTCAATTGCGGTACCACTTTCGGCCCAAATGTGGTATACAAAATTTGCAAATTTCGTATTGCTATTATTTTCCTCATTTTGCAACATTTCGCGGCCAAACTTTGCAATTTTACTAATTTTAACATGCTCTTTCTGGATGGATTTTGTTCTTCATGCCTAGATCAAAATTTAGTCTATATGATCTATAGCTGGAATTGCCTATTGAGTGGTTCGTATTAACTGGAGCGTGACACTGTGAATATTATTTCTTAAATTTTTTTCAAAACGATTCTGTGTTTACTGTAGTCGTCACTGAAAACACACGCTTCACTCTTAAATATCGATCACGCGTTTTTAAATTAACTCAAATTTACACTATGAAAAACACAATCATGCAGATATGCAAATACTATACAAATATAAATAAAAACGTTGTCGTTGAATGGAAAATCAGCTGAAAAAGGTTAGAATGCAGGATGGTAAGCGTAATCGTTTCTAGACTGCCTGCGACGAATTATGTCGCAGGCAGTCTGTTGTATGACAACAACAATGACTCACGTGACATCAACGATGATGTCATCGCCACATCTCCCTCTCAATATGAAATTGTTTAACGGCATCATAGTGTTTATGCCTAACATATACCTAACATTTTTGTGTCCCAACGAAATTGTTTAACGGCATCATAGTGTTTATGCCTAACATATAACTATAAATAATGCGTGATAATTCTTAGTGTCTCTCGTAATCTTTATGCCAATCTGGCGAACGTCGCACTCGCGTAGTTTGACGAGGGATTGTCTCTTCTTGTCCCGCGTCACTTTCACTCGGCGTTCGACCTCCATTACTGCCAGAACTGCCTACCTGATTTTCATTTTCTGTTTCATGAGTTAAAGGGTTAGTTGGGGTGCTATGATCCACGACTGGTAAACTTGGGGTGAGGTCCTTTTCGATCGGCTCGCTCGGTTCGATTTGGGATTCTTTCGCGTTGGGAGGTGGTGCCATCTCTTTGGTCGCACGTAGATGACAGCGATTACGGCGATATCGCCTTCCACAAACCTCGACTTCGAAAGATCGGTTTTCGAGTGCACGTACGCAGGTACCAAGCGACCAACGGTTATC